TTCTAAGTCGGCTAAGCGGTTCGCGGCTTGTTCGCGCGCTCTCACTTCTCGGGCCGTAGCCGCCTCAGCCGCTGGTAAGCGAGCCGCCATCTCAAGACCACAATAGGGCCGGGGCTTGTCTGTGATGGTATAATTAATTCCTATATGAACTCTAGTCTAGAACTAACCTTAACAGCAGCGAGTTCCGTCCTCGCATCATCTAATTCAGCCTGCAGTGCACATTGTTCAGCTTGTAGTGTTCCGTATTCATCCTCTAGATCGGCTAAGCGGTTCGCTGCTTGTTCGCGCGCTCTCACTTCTCGGGCCGTAGCCGCCTCAGCCGCTGCCAAGCGAGCCGCCATCTCACGGCTTTCAACTTCTCCTCCGGTAAGGGTTTGACGACGTAACGCTCGCTCTTTTGCTACAGAGTCCTGAAGATGGGAAATATAATTAAAATATAAATGTAAAAGATACATACATATGTAGCTTAAGTACAATAAATTGCTACGTTAACATGTTTTCCAATAATCAACTATACACTAACTAAATCAAACTGAGTTTTTACTACATAACGGATTAACTAAATACAAATATACATACATAAATATCCTTATCTAGCTACTACAAACATACTTTCCAAATGTTTTTCTATACCTCTAACTTAGAGGCTCTAACATAAGGCTTCTAAAATCTACAAGTTACTACTTATACTCGTGGTAAACTCACAATCGCCCGAACATTGATTTCCGTGAGTCTTCGGTGTCGCAACTCGTGCACGTGTTCTAATATTTCCTACATATCAAAAATTTATGTAATGACACCTTTAAAAAAAGTTATAGGCGTCTATTATACGGTAGATCTTGCTTTTAGTTTTTCATACTCAAGGATGTAACTGACGCATTTAATAAATGTAAAAAATACTCAGAATTTCGCTATTCATCATGACTGAAGGAATAGCGTGACGCGTGCAAAAGCGAGTAATAGATGCCATAGAGGACTTGGTTCTTAATAACTTAATAAGTATTTATCTAATATGAATAGTCGACTGAACTGCGACATTAGTTAACCATCACATATTTTAATACAAATCAAATCAATCTTCAAGAACTGTCATCTCATAATGCTATGCAGCTCTAGCAGATAATAGGTAGGAGCTTCCAGCCTTTACGAAGAGTCCCGTATGCTATCACCCTAGGCCTGTCTTTTTAATTTATGTGAAACTAACATAATATCTCACCTTATAATGAATATGCTGGACCCTAGCTTCATCAGCCGCCGAAGCGGCGCGGGCGCACTCTGCCTGTAACTCAGCCACACGAGTCTCCAGCCTCCTCGTGCAGTCCCTCAGGCTGTCTCGCTCGGCCTGCAGCGAGACCGCGTTGGCTCGCGCCGCCGCTAATTCGGCCGCCGAGCGCTCGGCTAAACCAGAGGAAAGCTCCTGGTTGGTCCGTTGGAGAGCCATGCGTTCTTCCTTTTCGACTTCGATTTGGCGTTCGAGGCGGCTGTTGAAAAATTGGTCGAGAATATGTTAATAGACATTTCTATTGTGCCATATCGATATCGCTGTCGCGTGATACTGTAAACTACAATTTGGAGATGAAATGTTGAAAGGTTATTTGAGCTCGTCATCATCTCACGAAGAATTTGTGGGCTATAAAATCTCCTCGTTGTCACATTAAAAAAAATATTGTATTTAATTTAAGAAAAGTATTATCTTTAGCACATAATCATCTATAGTCCGATTTTCACCCGCCGCCGCCAGCTTGTTTTGAAGTGATGCTATCTCTCTCCCAGGCATCGCTTACTTTGAAGCGCATGTATCTCCCTCGCATGCATCGCCGCTAGTAATACATACGTGTTCTGCAAGCTGAGCGCCGTGATCTCGGCCTGTAGCCGGGCGCGC